AGAATAGCCTACCACAACTCTATGATCTGTTAGCTACTGCTAGAAGATGCAATGATCGAATGAGATTTTCTCTAAGATTTTAACTAGCAGCCACAAGAGGAGTTGTTGCTGAACTGAGAGATCATTAAGGTGTGGGCCTAAGCATATACACAAGACAAAACTAAAGCTAAAGAAAAGTGAGTTGGAAAGAAATAATGGAAGGGCAAAGGGATACCGAGAAGTTGGTGCAGATGATGAAAGCTTATTTATTTTAGGCCTTTTTCTTAGAACTGCCTTGTTGGTTCTCCTATACTCCCTGAGGCTGTCTGTAGCCTTCCAATGCTCTTCTTTACTTGAGTTCTAATAGCTTTACTTTACTGGTCATTGCAACCTAGAGACGGCGAAAAATTCCCCAACAAATGTCATGCTCAGTCCCGTCTTTTCTCCCATCTTAGGTCATTCTACATTTTCTATTTTTCCCTTCTAAGAATCCAAATACTATATTCCTTCAAATATACACCCAAGACCAAATAGATTATGTGAAAGCTGACTAATCTTAGGCAACAATTCTGCATCACTGAACGGCAGAGCATTTTAGCTTCTGGTTACAGATGTTTTACTCCCCATTTGTTTTATATATTGATTGCATCATTCAGCAGCCAACCAACCTGTCTGTTGAACCTTCGTCTCTGAATCATTAAAATAGAGTTAATTACATGTACTTCAAAGAGTTGTGAGGAGAGTGCCCAGCATAGTTCCTGCTGGGTAATGTTGCCTTACGTGTTTGGCAAGGACAATACAGTAAGGGAAACACCTTTAGTTTCTTCAAAGTTAGGGTGGGGGGGAATTTTGCTTAAAATAAATTCTGTTCCTCTTATATTTTATATGTGGGCAAAAATAAGTTCAAATTCTCGAGAACATTTTCAATTCCAAGCAGATGTCTTTCACGGGTAAACCAAGATCGATGTTCAAGCAGCACATTAGTCAAAAGTGCAATGAGATACCATCTCACCCCTACTAGAATGGCAATGATTTTTTGGTTTTTAAAGAACAAAACAGGCATTGGTGAAACTAGAACTTTCATCCACCCTGGTGAGAATGAAAAATGTCACAGTAACTATGGAAAAGATTTTGGTGGTTCCCAGGCTGGACACAGAACAACCATAGACCAAGCAATTCCAGGCTTAGGTATATAACCCAGGGACCAGAGAGCAGTAACACAAACAGGCATATATACTCGTCTCCTAATGCTCGGTGCAGCACTTCTTACAACAGGGACACAATGATAATAAGATAAATGTCCATCACCGAACTGTGATATAGACAGACAATGGAAAGCTACTCGCTGACAAAAAGAAGTTAAGTCCTAACGCATGCCCTGCACAGATGAAGCTTGAAAACATCACAAATATTATATAATCTCGCTTATATGAAATAAGATAATATACATCAGCAAAAAATTAATAAGGAAGGAAAAGGGAGAGTTTTTGTTTAAGGAGTAGTGAAGTTATATGAATGGGAAAAGGAGAGTGACAAAGGTTTCACAAGTAGAAGCATCTAATGGACGTCCCTAAATTGTATATGTAGAAACTGGAGATGGCACATGCTGTTTTGTTCTGTAATTATTCACCACCATTTTAAAAAGGAAGACGTTTTCGTATATTAGGAAAACCACTGTCAATTTGCCTGACCCATCGGGATTGTGTTAGTCTGGGTTGACTAGAGAAATAAATGCATAGACACTCGTAAGTGTGTAGGAAAGAACTTCATATCAAAGAGCAATTGTGCATTAAGAAAACATCCCAGCCCAGTCCAGATCAAGTCCATTAGTCCGTTATTATCTCATATGTCGATACTAGTCCATAAATTCCTCTTTAGACTCACGCAGTCATGCAATGATGCCGAATGCAGGAAGATCACAGGCCAGTGGGTGGAAAGTCTTATGGATCTAGTGGTGGTGGAAGCATCTCAGCGCTGGTGTGGGTTTCCCCATGGCTCCTCCAGCTCCAGGGCTCTGGCTCCATCAGCATAGTTCCATGTGGCTTGTCAACAGGAATCTCTCGCAGGAAGGGTGTGTACCTGGTCTCCAGTGAGCTATTTGTCTCCGTTTTGCCTCGATGAGGTCATCAAGCTGTGACCAGATTAACAGGCTAAACTCCACTGCTTCACTCTTAATAGTCTCAAATTGACACCAGATTATGTAACTACCACAGGGGTCATCTTTTGGCTTAAGCTCTAAGGTGTCATCTTCAAAGTTTATTTTGATTTTGGGTATCAGTGAAATTTTCAGTTTAGTTTTTCGATCAGCAAAACTGCTTTTTCCTGAGATTTTAATAAATAGTTCTATAATTTTCATTATAATTTTTCTCTGATTATAGCTTTCCTTTCCTCACTAATTTAGGGAACAATTTTACCCCTTTTTGACAGGACTAATATTCTAAAATCCACTAGTAGTTACTCTAATTCCCTCTACTATTCTCTTAACTACACAAATTTCATCAAATCACTTATTTACTCTTCATTTAAATCTGCCTCTTCTATTTTCTTCACAATTTTGACTACTTTTAGAGTGCCATAAATTTGCTCTGATCTTACTGTACTGATACAACCAAGTGTTAACATAAACCATAGAACTGGCTCACTCCCTGCAAGCTATTACCGACAACGTGCCTGATGGAGCTACGCTGATGCAGCCGGAGCCCGGAGCCGGAGGAGCCATGTGGAGACC